TGCATGTTTTAAAACAAAGAAATAGAGGTTTGGGGCAGGTGAGTTCCTTGAGGAAAGCCCCACGCTGATAAGTAAGCTCATAAGTGGAGTTCAAGGCAGGGAAGTCCAATTTCAGAGCCCTTTGTCCTCTGAACTGCAATAACATCCCAGGTCCCATCGTATTATTTTCATTAGGGTCATTGTCATGTAAGACTGCACATACCCTCAAGTTTACTATAAAGGAAAACAATATATAGAAATATCTAGTAGACTATGAGGCATGAGGCATTAAATTGTATGGTAGTTATACTCACTTCAATTAAAGAGAAGGTGAGGTGCAATGAGAGTTGTAGCAAATCAGGAAGACACATGAAAGAGAATGTGAGAGTCTGGAAGAATGCTAAGATTTGGGCAGTCAGGGGATGGACAGTGTATTTCAGGTTAGGAAGAAACATTGTAAAAACATAGTTAGACTTTCTAAGAACATTCTAAGACCCTTTTCTGGTGATGGGAAGTGGCGGGCAGAACCCTACCCCCAAACACCCATACCATCCATGTTCCTTACTTTCATTATGAATTGGGTCAGCTAGATAAAGCTAGATAAAACCTTGCTTTATCTATCAAAGTTAACCTTGCTATAGATTGATTGGAAAAGGGAATGGGAATCCAATTCCCATTCCAATTTCCCAGAATTGGAAATCTAACTAAAGGGCTTTTTGGGGCATTCTGTAATAAAATGAGGATTTCTGTGATGACTGAGTTCAACTGAGACACCTAGTCTTCTGCCAGTTCTCAGCAGAGAGAAGGCAAATTTTGTGGGTATTAAGCTGCAGTTAATTGCTTTAATCTGAAACAACAGTTTCCAATTAAACTATGCTTCAGAGGAACATCTTTAATGTTTAAATGTGTATGAGTTGATTTACCTTAGTATTCACCTTTTTCTATATTAACTGAACCACAAAAACTGCAAAAGCTAGAAGTCAAGTGGTCTTCTAAGTGACTTTTACCTGGCAGCTCCTTAGTCCCTCGAAGGAGGTGTCATGCATATTCTTCCTGCTATGGATTTTGGATACAAATCAGTCCTCATAATGGAAAGGGCTCTTCCCACTTCTCTCCTTTCCACAGTATTTGTTCCATTGCCACAAATACTGCTGGATTTTGTTCACTTGTATAATCTCTTTCACTTATTTCCTCTTAACAGTAAAAGTTGTAAGGATATAGACATATTCAGCCTATGTATCAAAACATGTTTTAGTTGTAGAACTTTTTGATAGTTCATGCTTTCCTTCCATGTCTGAACTGCTACTTAGAATTCCCTGCTTTACCAGTTTATGATAAAATAGTGACAAAGTATCACAGGTTTTGAATTAAATCAACTTATTTCATAGAGGTCAGCCTTGTAGTTACTGAAAAGATTGAAATATACCAATGTTCATTTATATAGAATCTCTTAACAATAAGCCTTTGTAAATTGTCCTAAACTCTGGTTTAGACTTCGCAGCCTGCAACACATGCCTGTGTGATTTTTTAATTATAGCTTCTTTTATTGGCTCATTATATTTTTATTTTTAATCCAATATATAGTTTCTGTTAGACTAAACAGTCCTGGGAGAGTCTAAGGACACCTTGTCTGAGGTCATAGAAGAAATTTGGGAGTGTTGGAATAGAAAAAAATCCTAGAAGTGAGGAAACAGACTTAGAAGAGTCACTTGACCAAAAGCTATAAAGTGATAAGGCAGGATAAAAACACAGAATCCTAACAAATGAAATATGTTGGATGAGATGAGTCTGTTTCATTGTAAACAGTGACACTCATAGTATAAAAAGAGAAATGACCTGCAGGTCTTACAGCTTCATATCTTCATTCTTTGAAGATTAAAGTGAAGCCAGGTGTGGTGGTGCACACTTATAATCCCAGTAGCTCTGGAGGCTGAGGCAGGAGAATCACAAGTTCAAAACCAGCTTCAGCAACAGTGAGGCACTAGTAACTCAGTGAAACCCTATCATCTCTAAATAAATAAAATACAAAATAGGGCTGGGAATGTGGCTCAGTGGTCAAGTACCCCTGAGTTCGATCCCTGGTACCCACCACCCCTCCAAAAAACAAATTAAAGTGAAAAAGGAAATTGCTTAACATTTTTAAACAACCTGAGGTCTAGTTTTCATTGAAAGCACCATAGCAACTTGGTTCTTCCCTTCCACGGCACTTTTTTTTTTTTTTAACTGTGAAACGAGACTGGAATTGCACTTAGGAGACTTGATGCTCAGTAAGAAAGTTAATATTTAAAAGGTGATTATCAAATTCCAAAATAAAATCAGTTATAAAAAATTTTTATAAAACCCAACCTGAAATTCATATAGTATTATGTTTAAAATGAGGATCAAAATAAGTTTTTAAAAAATATATTTTCATCATAAATAAATCAAAAAACCTGTGAATAAATGTTTGAGTTCACTGAAAATTGCTTTCATAGATAAAAATTTAAGAAAAGTTAAAGGAGCTGGGCTTGGTGGCACACACCTGTAATCCATGCCAAAAAAGAAAAAGAAAAAAGTTAAAGGAAATATTGGAAATAATGAATACCCTACCTATGTCAATGTAATTCCTAGAGGACAGTAGGTCACTAAAATATGCTTTTCAATCTGAGTTTTACAAAAGCAGCACTAAACATGTCTTGGGAGAAACACTTATTCACATCTTTTTATTTTTTTATAACATCAATAAAGACTAAAACATGTTGCTTAATAACTATTATTTTAAATATAATTTTTCTAACAAAGAGTTTAATGAGTAAATGCTACAATAGGAAAGGAAGTAAGAACCCTACAGGAGAAAGCACATCATATGAGTCAAATGTTCAGGATCCTTCAAAGGATACCTACAGCCCTGCCCTCTCACCTTAGACAATTTAGGAAGCATCTTGTATAAAAGTGTCAGAGCTAATTCCTGAATTGCTCATTAGAGATTTCTTTTTTAATCTTCTAAGAGAGATGGAACTCTTACTAATGTATGTTTTTATCCCAGTATTTTGACCATGAGGGCTTCTGTAGTAAATGATCTATCAGCAAGTGTGATGCTTCTCTCTCATTATAAAGTGCCCCTCCTGGCCAGTGCAGTGGTGCACACCAGTAATCCCAGCAACCCTGGAAGCTAAACCAGAAGGATGACAAGTTCGGGGCCAGCCTCAGCAACTTAGTGAGACACTGTCTCAATATGAAAAGTAAAAAGGGCAGAGGATGTGGCTCAATAATAGAGTACCCCTGGGTTCCATCTCAGTACCAAAAAAAAAAAAAAAGAAAGAAAAGAAAAACTGTTCCTGCTATTGTGTATTTCTTAGTCTCTTGTGTCTCGAAAATGCCAAAATGTTTTAAAATACCTATTTCCCTCCTACAGGGTAGACACTATGCATCATAGTTTGTTAGTGATGAAAGGAAACTGGAGAAGTAGGAAAGGGTTGTGTATTCAATAAAACACCTTAGAGTTCTTCATTTGAAGTTTGTTTTTAGCCTTCCTGTACCTGCTGGAGATTTTGCTACCAGTTGTGTTTCAATAGAGACACTACCTGTGTGAGGTAATTTAAAATGCTGCCACTAAAAATTGCTCAGAATTAGCCTAAAGGAGGATTGTAGAGGAAGAAAAAAATGAGTGAAATGCGAGAGGGAATTAAATCCCTA